CAGGTTGATTTAAATTGTGGCCCTCTCAGGGAAAATGTTTGGGCACCCCTGCTCTAAGTATAATAAAAATATCCATCTCAAATATTTTTTCTTGTTGCTTCACAGTTCTTACCTTGCTGCTGTTTGTTAAAATAATATACTTTTTTATAGCTGTAATTAGTTATTTCAGGTTTAAAATAAAGATCATGTGACATCTGCTGGGGAGTAGGCGGGGCATAAATCCCAACTCCCAATGCGCAGACTCTGGTTCCAAAAATCCTGGCAGCTCCCAATATGAACAGTTTAAAGACTTCTCAGTTTCTAAAGATCTATTTACTTAATAAAACAATAATACATCAGATCTAGTTTTTTGTTTAGGCAAAACTCACCAACGACAACAGGAAGCACCTTCATAGCTTTCCTCTCCCTGCTGTTGATCTTTGCTCGCTTCCTTCTGTGAGGGTCGGGGTTGAATTTGATCTCCGCAAAGCTGACCGAGGGCACAAGGCCGACCTTACACACGGAGTGCAGCGGTTGTTCCGTTGACGGTAAGGTGGACGGCTCGTCGGCTGTCAGCTCCCGCTCTATGATGGGAGGCAGAGGCGGGGGTAAGGAGGCCAGAGGAGGCAGCGAGGCCGCAGCCTCCTGCAGCTTGCGGCAGGCCTGGATGCTGCTCTTCAGCTTGGCCTTGCGCGCCTCCTCCCAGCGGCGCAGCCCACGGAACATGCCGCAGTACAGCAGCAGCATGATGGGGCAGGGGATGAAGAAGGAGCACACCGAGGAGTAGAGGACGTAGTCGTCGTTTTCCAGTTTGCACTCGCTGGGGTCACGCCCCGGCACGTTGTTGATGCCGAACATAATGGGCGAGGCCACGGCCAGAGCCAGAATCCAGGTGGCCGACAGCAGAACCGCCTGCCGCAGGTCCACGTGTTTCCTGTTGTAGTTGAGAGGAATCAAGACGGCGATGAACCTGTAACGAGTCGGAGACATCTGTGGTCACAACCTGTCAGCCAAGATATACAGAAAACCAAAACATCGTTGTTCAAAATGTTTGTTTTTTTAAAGAGTAAACATGTTTCGGCCTTTTTTGTTACAGAAACCAGAGTCCTGTAGTTTCTGGCTCCATTCTGGTAAGTGAGGTGAAACAGGTTTAAAGTATACCTGCGACATGCAAACCCTTCTCCTTCAAATACAACAGTTCACAGAAAACATCTTTCTATTTATAAACACATGATTTTACCCATTTTGTCACATATTTTCTTTTGAACTTGTCTCAGCCAAAGTGAAACAGGAAGTGACATCAAAGGGGAACTCTTTAAGAAAGAGAACTCTCTGGTCGTTATTTATTAAAACAATATTATTTGAACTCGGACTCTTCTTCATCTCTCTGATAGACTTAATATTTTAAAGAAACATCAGATTCTTCTCCTCAGTCTGTGTTGTTGGCTGTTATAGCAGCACTATTCTCATTCAGACATCCCCCTTTGACATCACTTCCTGTTACTTCACATGCAAATATCTCAACAACTGTTCATCTCAGCAGTGTGAGAGTTTAGTTGCAAAATTTTGTCGATGTTAACTTGCTAAAAATGTATTCATATTTATTATAAAAAATGACGTCATAGACACTTTAAAACTTTCAATTTTTACTATAAAAATTAAAACTCTCATTTGAGCTAGGGGAGGCTGTGGCGGAGTGGTTAGTGGAGTCATCCTTGAACCAGTAGGTCACTGGTTTGAATCCCCATTCCTTGGGCAAGACACTTCACCCGCCTTGCCTACTGATGGTGGTCAGAGGGTCTGCATGGCTGCCCTGCCTCTGTCAGTGTGCCCCAGGCAGCTGTGGCTACATTGCAGCTTACCACCATCAGTGTGTGAATGGGTGGGGTCCATGTAGATTTGATAAGGCACTACACAAGTTCAAGCCATTTACCATTTTTTATTCATATTTTATTTTAGGACCTCTACAACTCACAAACTATAAAAACTTGATTGAATAACAAATGGTAAATGTAACTTTTTTTTAAATTGAGTCAATCTTGTGGCACAATACAGCATTTACCTGTAATATTTTTAAAATTCAATTTTATAAAAAGAAGAGTGAATGTTCTAATATATGATATAAAATGTATCGGTGTGGTAACGGCGCAGCGTGTGGTCACGCAAACATACATCTTCTGAAGAGACCGTCTAATTTCACAGCTGTTTTATGCAGTTAACCTAGACTGAGAAGGGTGTGGCCTCCGTGGTCTACGTGGGCTGCAGCCCCTGTTTTGAGACGCTATTCCTTCTATGAGACCATATGGTAGGACGATGGGACCACCACTGCACAGCCTATAGCCTGATTACCTCACAAGGAACAAAATTATTTTGTTCCAACACCTGCTTCCTCAGCCATAATTAAAGGGGGCCTATTATGCAAAATTCACTTTTTAAAGGTCTTTTTTACTCAACTTTGGGTATGTACTTCTTAAAAAAAAAGTCCTAGGACCAAAAAAATGCACCCAGGGGCATATTTACTGTAAGTAAATGCATTTTTAATGTATATTAACGACAAGTTTTATACTTCCATCATTTTGTAATGTCACAAGCCGTACGACAACCCTCCGGAAACTGCGTTCAGCCCCTCACCTAGCAACCCCCGGGTGAAGCTCCTCCTCCTCAGTATAAAAAGCTGTCATGGTTGTTGTTGTTCAATGCGCAGCTCATTTCACAACAAGCCTCCAATGGTGCAATGGGTAGAGTGTTGGACCAGAGAGTGGGAGACCAGGATTCAAGACCAGCAATGACACTATTTAATTATTTATTTTCGTTCATTATGAACACATTTTCTCATGTACTTCTATTGTTGAGCTTATTAAAGCCTTGTTAAAGCCTATTTGTTCCAGTTTGGTAACAGCATGCAGAGTGAGCACAGAGCAGAGGAGGGAGAAAAAAGAAGCTGGGACCACGACTCTGCCTCTGGGTCTCATATGGTTGTACAACGGAGCTTCTGCTATTATTAGCCATACTAACGTAAACRCTGGCTTTGGAGGGCGGAGTTAATGTCAACAGATTTTTGGAGGGCGTTACCAACRGAGCTCATTAACATAAACAGCTCTTCTGAACAGAAGTCAGAGCAGGCAGAACTAGAAAATGAGAAATTTTATTATCAGAATTATTTTGTGCATTAAATTGAATGAACATGGTCTGGATAGCCCACAGACATACCATAAACATTTCTACGACCCATAATTGCTCTCCTTTAAGTCTTTCAATCTGTCATGACAGCAGGTCTCACGTCAGTTTCTCAACCAGAAGAATTCCCTCCATCAACATCATCATCATCATCATCAGCAGCAGCAGCTCCTCTCTGGAGGCCTTCAACTTTTGTTTCCTGCCTGATCTTTTGAATTATTCAGGATCTGTCGTCCACTTACACATCTATAAAACCCTCAGGTCATTCCTCCTGTCCCACGTTAGCCTGGTTGCTCCACATCTGTTTGTGATATAATTGTTTCCAGGAGATGGCTCGTCTGATTGCAGCTTTTTATCCTCACTATCAACCTGGAGTTAAGGTGAAACCGAAAGGCCCGGAGAGAAGCAGACTCATTCTTCACTGGAGGATTTATATTGTTCTGGCTCCTTGAATGCCCCCATCTCCCATAATTAGAGCTTTTAGAGGAAACAGACAAAAGGTCAGGGTAATATTTCTACATCATCGAGCTAACTGTCTGACTCTGACGGCACTCACATGGATCACAGATGATGCCCACAGTCTCTGTGACAGATTACGCTGTTTTCACTTTGATTCATCGGCTCGATGTTCTTGAACGACCCTGACACTGGAGCGAACCAGTTACGACTGAACTTTGAGCTTCATGTTTGAAACTTGTTCTTTAACATTTAAACAGGACATTGAGACTTTGGCTGCAGAAGAAGGTGAAACTGTTCTTGCAAGAGTGTGTGTTAGCAAAATACCTCATGAACCACTGGACAGGTTTTATTGAAACTCTCAGAAAATAATCATTGGGTGTACATAAACAACAAGTTCACTTTTACAGTCAACTCAAATCAAGATGGCCACCACAGCTAATGAAAGCAAGAATGTTAACAAATAAATTGGACAATACTCTGGCTATTTAGTGATATTTCAACAGTTGTGGTCTTGACTGGTCTTGAAACAAATGTCCTCAATGTCCGACCGAAACAAGATAGAGTGACGAGTCCGAGACAAGACCATCAAAAAGTGGTCTTAAGACCAGAATTAAGACCAAGACTGATCTGAAGTAGTATTTGAGAATCATAAGTCAAATTAAGGAACATTAATATCTGACTTTAAGGAACAGTTCATATATTTAGGATAAGTTTGTTTTTCAGTCTTAGTGATGCACTGTATGTATTTAAGAGTCAGCTGAAACAGCACTGATTTGACAAACACTTTATCTTCAAGGTTTTTGCTAAATTCCACATCAAACTGAGAATCCCTCACCACACACATCCTCAGAGGTTTCAAGTTGTGTGACCAATGAACAATAAAGATTGTGTTGCTATAACACATCTAACAATCACACAGTATTTAAAAAAGGGAAATTTAATTATACAGGTCCTTCTCAAAAAATTAGCATATTGTGATAAAGTTCATTATTTTCTGTAATGTACTGATAAACATTAAACTTTCATATATTTTAGATTCCTTGCACACCAACTGAAGTAGTTCAAGCCTTTTATTGTTTTAATATTGATGATTTTGTTAAGACTGAGTGTTTGAGCTCTGAATAATTGCCGAACACAGAAGCAAGTTTAACAGGTTTATTGTTAAATTGAGTGATTGGAGGTAGGAAGCTGGAACCCAGGAGCAGCAGGTCTGGATACAGAGAACAGGGGTTAAGTCGGTTCAGGTAAATTATATTATATAAGTAAATAATATAACTTAACGTCCCCTCTTGGATGGACTGATTTCATGTGGAAAACAACCACTGAGTCTTGGTTGTGTGTCTGGCGGTGTTGASACAGGGCTTGCTGCTGCTGCGAGGATTAATCGTGGTCCAAGACAAGGCTGGGGTCAAACACGGGTGGTCAGAGGCAGTTACCAGGTTAATAGGGGCAGACTGAGTCGAGGATCCAGGGATGGGTTCCGAGGTCGAGTTCCAGGAAGTCCGAGATGGCGAGGTTCCGTTCAGGGGCGAGACGTGAGGCGAAAATCCAACAAACAGAACCAGTGTTGTTACCAGGTGAGCTGATGACAGGCAGGATCCGACGGGCTGAGGCAGGAGACGTGGGTCCGAGAAACAGAAACAGGGTCGTTACCAGGAGAACAGATGACAAGCAGGATCCGACGGGCTGAGGCAGGAGACGTGGGTCCGAGAAACAGAAACAGGGTCGTTACCAGGAGAACAGATGACAAGCAGGATCCGACGGGCTGAGGCAGGAGACGTGGGTCCGAGAAACAGAAACAGGGTCGTTACCAGGAGAACAG